GGTTGGATGGTGGGAGGCATGTCAGCACTGGTGGAGGGGTTGTTGGGAGTAGAAGTGGTAGGTTGGATGGTGGGGGTTTGGTGAGTGGAGGGATGTTGGTCACTCCAACCTCAATTGGACAAAAACATAGTAACGTTTTATGGCGCATACTTGCAAATTCATTAAGTGCAATATATTAATAAAATATATCCATACAAATGTATTTTATTGATGCTTTATTAAAAGTAAGGTGTGATATTTATGAGTTTTTGCAATAGACTGAGCTATATATTCAAATGATCACAAAGTAGACTTACCTTGTATAAGCACCTCAAAAAGGGCCTTCATCCGATCAAGACATTTGTCAGCCTGACCAGACAGCTGCCATTTGGGGTGCAGGACATGGGTAAACCAGGTGGCAGGCTTTTTTCCTGGTTTGGCATGTAAAATTATTGCCCTGTGCCCCAAAGTGTGCAACTTTTCAAGCTAAAAAAAGAAACAGTCAATAAAAAAAAGTCAAACAGAAACATCACAAGCCTTACTTTTGTGAACTTCAACTACAGACGTTAAAAACTTACCAAAACAGATGCCTCATCCATAACATGTGAGGTGGTTTTGTTTTTTTGTTGTTTTTCCAGCCAGCCCTCTTTTTTTGCTTCAAAAATCTTTAGCTTTTTTGCCAGCCTTTGCTTTCTGGGCTGGACTGCATTGCAAGACTTGCAGGTCTTGGTGGCCACAGCAATCTTGGCTTTGCAGCCAACGCATGTTGTTAAAGTAGATCCTCTTGGCATTGTAAATCTGGAAGAAAAAGACAAGACATAAACAACCAAACTGACAAAAGAACTCAATTATTTAACTATTGTGTCTTTAAAAGTATAAAAAAATTGTTTCAGTTTATGATCTTCAGTWAAATATAATTTCTCTCTTTCCCTTTATAATCACACAAACACATATACACAATAATTTCTCAGGATACACAAACACACTATACTCTGGCATTCMWATCAACACACCCACACCATTTAAGTTGMATACATTTATTCCTGTGTATTTGCTCATAGKTCAAAAATGGCTTWATCTRATGGAAAATATATGGATATAAGCTGAATAAATACAAATTCAAGATTTTATGTTGTAATAGGTTTCAATGKGGAGTGTAGCAMTGTGTATTATATACATTATGGAAGCTGAGGCTGAAATCACATATTTACAAAGAAAAATAACTACCTCTGGGTTATCAGAGGAACTCAGGTGACCATAACGTGCCCTCTGCTAGCTATATATACTGTACATACAATGCTCAATCTTAGTCACACCAAGCTGAAATGTTAGCAGCCAATATATACTGTGCTCTATTAGTTGTTCATTATTGACAAACAAATAAAGCATTAAAGATATTATTCAAAGCTTAAATATTAATATTCATCATGCTCCTCCCATACCTGTCCAGGTGCACTCTTGTGAAGAGTGTCAGGATTACCGCGATGATGACAATGCCCGCCCCCTACTCTGGTTCTGATTGGGTAACCGTAAGCCTTACACTGACCGATCACATATCTTATTCCTAAACACTGATTATTGACTGTATAGCTCTGGTGCCAATTAGGATTAGTAGCCAATCAGAGGGAGAGTAGTGCAGGCGATGACTTCCTCATGCGACACATGTCCCTTCACCACCACCAGCCCCCTTCCAGCCACCCCCTCCCACTGTTGTACTTACTTTTTGAACTGCTAATTAATCAACTAACAACAATATTTAAACTTGTATCCACATATCATACACCAATACTATTTTTGAATACTGAACATTCTTAATGTTCTCATACTGTATGTATCTTAGTGTTTTCATTTCCTACTTTCACAAGTGATGTCATTGCCTCTGTATAAATCTACGGTATATATATCTAAGTATATACACATACCAGCATTTAAATTTGGGCAAGTGTAGACCTCATTTTCCTTGTGAAATACTTCATATCCCCATTTTCCCTTTGATTTTTAACATTGCGGCTCCCTTCCCCTAGGCCCCCACGCAGCACGGTCCTCGATTGTAAGTAATACAGTATGCAGTACCTAGCAGGTGCATGATTTTAAGATAAGATGTCACATTATGTCTCTTGAGCTCATGGAAATGACCTTCACCTTCCACCTATTGTCACCTGCATAAGTACTTTGTTGAGGGAAACATAATACAAACATAAATAAAACCATGCCACGGGGTTCCCCTCACGACAGCCAGAGACAAACCAGTCTAACCATTGCGGGTTCAGAAACATCTTTTTATTAACTCCCAACTGAAACTTACAAAACATTAACTTAAAGGGTCCAGCACTTTCTGCTGGACCGTCAGCTTCAGTCTCTCCAGTGTGTGTGAGTCCTTCTCCAGTGTGTCTTCTGAGTGTTCTCTCTCCCAGTGTGTCTTCTGAGTGTTCTCTCTCCCAGTGTGTCTCCTCGAGGCAGCTCTGCTGCCTCCTTTTAAAGTCTGAGGATCAATCAGCTAACAGCTCTCACCTGTGCTGATTGATCCTCAGTGGTGCAGGTGAAGGTGCTCTCTCTGCCCCTTCACCTCCACACTGCCCAATAGAACACCAAAAAGTGCTAGCTTTTTGAATTTTGAATGCACTGTATGAATGTGTGTGTGAATGGGTGAATGGAAAACTGTAGTGTAAAGCGCTTTGAGTGGTCTTCAAGACTAGAAAAGCGCTATATAAATACAACCATTTACCATTTTAAATTAATGTCACAGAAATGATTTCTGATCATTCATTGTAATATCAATTTGGTTGTAGGTGGACTGCTGCTTACCAGCGACTAATTTAACAAACAGATGGAAGAGTGATGGGAGACTCAAATATAGGTGGCAGAATTGATTGTTTGAAGTTATGCAGGTATGCCTACCTGGGGCTATGATAATTTAAGCAGTGCTGAAACAGTAAACACCTCTGTATTGATTTATTTGGAAAGAAACACAAAGCATAATTTACATCAATATTTTCGACTTTGTTGTATGAAGTTTAAATCAAACATGTATCACTATACTCTGTTCATTTCTTTGCTGTTAGACTGTTTTTAACCTTTATAAGATTACATTGTGAAACAGCTGGACAGCATAATTTTAGTGTAAACAAGAGGATGGACTGACTAATGAATGAATTTAGCAGTGATATGCAAGCTTGATGTTACATGAAACCTCTTGGACAACCAGAGCGTTGGGCTTTGCTATGACTAAATAACTGAAACTTCAGATCAGGAGAATGTTATTCTGTTATGGTTGTTTCAGTAACTGAGGTACTCTCTATAGAATGTAGTGTACCCTTAAATTTCAAATATATTTTATTTGCTTCCACTGCATAGATGTTATGCATCTTAACTTAGCCAATAACATGGTGTAGAAGTTCAAGGAAAACTCCCAATATGTTATATTAACTTTAATTTATTATGCACAAAAAATTACAGTAAGGTAGTTTGTTGAAATTATATGAACAATGGTAATGCAGAGTACAAAAATAGTGGATCAAAATAAAAAATGAGAATCTGGGGCATATGACATAATTCAGTTAGAGCCTTGGAGGATGCCATTGCTCAATACAATGCTGTTGTGGAGGAAGCCAACAAACTCCCTCCTCCTAACTCCTAGAACTTTAAGATACTCAGACACTTTATAAAGGTTAATACAACTATAAAAACACAGCAGCAGTTCCCCCAGTTTGTGTGCATGGTCCCAAGTGATGGACACAGGAGGTTAGCATCAGGAGTGTGGTGGAGGAGCACAGTGGTACAGCTTCACTTGAGAAGAACTGAAGGACACACACAAACGATAGTGGTAGATTTATGAAGACTGTTCCCTGTGGGTGTTTTTTAATTTTTTTTTAAAAAGACAGGCAGCTAAAAACTTAATATATTAAAGGTAACAGCTACCTACCAACAAGCTAGAGACAAATGGCTTCAACCTGTACATATACTCTGCATATAGAGTCTATTCCTCTTTTATACCCACATGTTAAAATGACAGGCATACAAAGTAAGTATAGGTAAGTAGTTCTTACCTATACAGGACAGGGCATGTCAACATACTGTACTGACATCATCATATCACCAGGTCATTCACACCTTTACCCAGAACTGCAGTCACAGTTCTTCATCAGTGGAGGAGTTACTCTCCAAGTTTTCCTCTTCAGAGGAGGTGTCATCCARAGAAGTTTGCTGTTCCAGGATATGTCGGTACATTCTGCCCGCTGCAGCCTGCTGAGCTTGAACTTCATGCAATCTTCTCTTCAGCACGCAGAGTAGACCCTCACTTCCCGTCTCTGTCAATGCCTCAGTACTGCCTGASAATGTATGATAAAAAAGAAAATGTTTTAATAGTGTGTGTGTGTGTRTATATATAYATAYATAYATATATATATATATATATAAATAAAATGTATATTACCGATGGCCTCAGAAAGCTGGGAGGAAAGCTCTCCCACCATAGTCCTCATGTACTCCCAGTGCTGTTTGACCTCACGAACCACAATAACGACTTCCTCTTTAAGTCTGGACAGCAGCATTACCTTGTCAGAAACCTTCTTTTTCTGAACCATATCACCATCACCTGGAATTCACCATATCAAAAGTGTTATCAATTATATCACACTTAAGTGAGCAATTTTGTATTCAGTGGCTTTCAATACAGTACTTACATTCCCATTGCCAGGAATAGTTGTCATTAGCCAAGAGTTTGTTAGGAGGAGGGAGTTTGTCGGCTTCCTCCACAACAGCATTGTATTGAGCAAAGGCATCCTCCAAGGCTTTCTTTTCAACAGCTATCTTTTTCCTAAGTTGATGTCTCCGCTTATTGCCATCTAGAATGTGAAACAACAAAAATATTTAGTGTACCCAGTACAAAATGATCACACCAATAAAATCAAGTCTACTACACAAAACTTTTTTATGGCTCCGTGTCAGCGATAGCTAGTGACTATTAAATAGTAATCAGTAACATTTGTCACAGCATGTTACATAAAGAAATGTGCATTAATGGTGGCATCTTGTTGTCTCACCAGTCTGACGATAAAGCTGAAATTTCCGATGCTTAATGCTCAGATACAGCCCTTCAATGATCTTCTCCAAGTCATTTTGACTGGTTGGTCCTTGTGAAGCGAATAATATTCATATAAATATCAGTTTACAGTCAAACTTTGTGTAGACCTTGTGTAAACAGAGTCAAAGGACATTTTGCAAGAATTACAATATTTTCCTGCCACAGTACCTGCCGTCCACTGCTGAGCATCTGACACCCATTGCTGGACTGTGTCTTCCTGTAGAGACAACTCCGTGGTGATGTTCTCAACATCCTTTGTTGCTTCTGTAATCCTTTGCACAGTCTGTCAAAACTAAATCAAAGTTACAAAATGCTGACACACCCCTTCCACAAAAAAGTATCTTGTGTCTTTCTGTCTTTACCTTGATGTATCTTTTGGCCAATGTCCAGTCGAGGTTTTCTGCTTTCCGCCTTGTTCCAGCCAATTGCTTGGATGGTAAGTATATCTGTGCGAACTTAAGACACATTACATATTAGGCCAGGAAATTACAAAACTAATCATTTATATGCAACTGAAAATACTTACCAGCTTTTGACATGTACTTGGAACATATGGCTGCTCGGGAGAGGAAGCTGTTGACCGGTTCAACCTCCTCCCCAATGGTCATCCCTGCTCCTTCTTGATTACGTCCCCCCCATTGCAACTGCAACACATTTACTTGAAAATTACCATTTGACCAAGAGAAAGGGAAGGCAACAGTGTGCAAATGATAGTTTGCAAATGATAGTGAGATTATTATTAATTATGTCCATCATTACCTCACACATCCATGAATGTGCTTTTGCGTGCATGATGGAGAGAAATGGACCCATGGTCAACAAGTTTTGCAGCTCTGGACAACCCTTTGCAGATATGGCCAGTATTTGCACACCACATCGGAGCAAAAAAATTGCACAGTCTGTGAAGCAAGCTGTTTTTGTAGATACACGTGATATGCAAATATTTCTCCACGGAACATATTCAGTCCCTTAAGCAAAAACCCATGACGACAGACGGCAACCTCAACGCCTTCTTCATTTACTTTGCTTGCAGACTTGTTTGCGGATTCTCGTGCTGCTGACCACTGACCAGTACCACATCGCCCTTTTGCAGGATTCTACAACAAATAAAGGCAAATACACATAAGTAAACAGTATAAATTAAAGATGTAAATATTGCTAATGTAATGTCTGATGGGGTCGTCACTATACAGAGAAAGGGAAACACTTTGTACAGGGTACAAGCATTTATTAATCTATGTGTCATAAAATAAGGAACAATGTAAATGTACTTACGTGTTTTGTCATCCCGTGGATGTAGTCAACAAAGGTAGACACCTCAGAGTCCTTGGCCAGAAATACACCATCAAAAAATCCATCAGGTCTTACACATAAAAAATAAATGAATAAAGATTTACAAATATTTATTTCATGGCACTCTGAATTTTCTATGGACAATAATTCTACATACCCTGGTTGGCTCTTAAAGCGGTACAGTTTACGGTTCCCATCCACTGCGACAGCCAACATGGTGGATGTGCATGCAGGGCACTGAAAATGCTGGACATGAGACAGTCTCTCAACCTCAAATTTGGCATATGTCCACTCCAGAAATGCCTTCTGCATGGTATCCCCACATATCTTTCCACTCTGGTAGCAAAAGACAGAAAAATCCAACATTATATGATAATTTATATATTGGAAACTCATTGCAAGCAGTGGGCAATCAATACCAACTTATACTCACCCGCCCAAAGACTTTAGTGCGATGTGCAAGCATGCTAACAAAAGCTTGCCGTGACATTCCCGGAGCAGTGACCTTGAGATCCTCAAATGTAGTGAACAAATCCACTGCATACAAGGTTTCAAAATTGACTGTGGCTGGCCAGTACCCACTTTCAACCAGAGCAGCAATGTCCACCGAACAAGACTTTCCACCGGAGCAGCTACCATGTGGGAGAGACAGATTGTATCGCCCTGAAATTCCAAGACAAAAAGAATTTACTTCAGTGCACGAGCAATTTAAAATAACATTACTATTTGAAAAATATAGTAAAAACCATTACCATTCATTCCAATCAAAATGATTTGCTTTCCTGTGGAAAAACTTGTTTTCCCAGTCGAACAATCACAGCAGGGAAGCATAATTGGTAACAAACATTCTAAGAAGCAAGAGAAAAATAATTTTATATATTCAATTCCAGTAACATCAACTTTAATCAGTGGAGGTATTCTTTCAGTGTGATAACCTATTTCACCCAGCATATTTTTTGCATTAATGACATTTACTATATTACATAAAATGGCCTATGTGTTTTGTAACTTAGAAGTACCTCTTTCATGGTAGGAGAATTGTCCTCCCTCATCTTCCTTGATGTATGTGGATGGTGGCAGTGGCCTGAAGAACCCCTCTACCATGGWTGCTCTATTATGGAGCACCATAGACCTGTGCATGAYAAAATCACAKGTTGTACAGTMAAGTGGTCTTGGCAAACAATCTTGACACCTTAATACTGCAACCTTTTGTCTGCATTGCTGGCAAAGTCCCTCTTTAGGCTTCTCAGATAATAACACCTGATTAACCATAAAGGCCTTAACAAAGTCCACTTTTCCAAGGTGGACRCTTGCCTATCCTTCCAATGTGAAGACAGAGGTTCTGCAGTAGGACATCCCAAAAGGTTTTGCACTTCCTGGATGAGGGAGTCTTGACAGGGGAAATTAAGGAGTGGAGGTTAGGAAAAGAACACATGTAAAGCAAGGGTAACTCTAGCTAAAGTGTATGACTACATGACWAATGAGGAAATACACAATAACCATATGGGGGGATGAAACCAACCTAAGTTTTGGATTGTCCCAGTCTYTCTCACTTGTCCACTAGTAGATGGAGCACATGATGAGTCTATGCTTCCAGAGGTATCTGCCAAAGTAGAATATTAATTTTATATCTTGCTTGGTGAGAAATAGTATGGATTGAAAAGAAAAAAACAACTAACCAGTGGTCGAACCCTGCTTCCGTTTCTCTCCTTTTTGAGAGAGGTTGCCCTTCCTGGTCCTCATCAAACCAAACAAACTGTTCGGTCCCAGTTGTTGACGTTGCTGCAACTCCTGTAGCTTCAATTGGATTATCCTTGATTAAAGAATTGACACAGATCATACCAACTGTAACATAACATTTTCATACAATATACAAACATCTTGTTACAAAACATCATTGTCATATTGCATACTACTGATTCAACCAAATTGTTAATCTATATTATTCATACATGTAAGTTAAATCATAAACCATCCTTAATTTTAGAAAACGAAATCAAGCTTCACTACACACTCCAAAAATAGGGAAGCTCTCATAACCTAGAATGTATGTGTATAGTGAAGACCCTACATAGGCCCCTCGCAAACCCCTCCCCCCCGCAGACCCCTTCCCCCCCGCAGGGCCTACACAGTACCTTGTAAAGCTATTCGTGGTTTCTGTTAACTTTTCTTGTACCATTGCATTATTTGTTTATATTGTAGCGCCCCTCAATGATGAGCTAGGCGTCCAGTCGCTTAGCTCATCATTGGGGGACGCTACAATGTACCAACCATTTATTCACAACCCAAGTAACAAAGGCTATCGTGGGCCGTAGCCTGCGCCAAAACAATAAAACATCAGCAAATGAATAGCATTCAATTCGCTGTATTGACGGAATCTCCACGTTTGCGCTCTCTCGGTATTCGTACTGTAAACCCAGACATAACAATATAAAAAAATCCCAGAAGAAACTTCTTACCTGACACTCTTCCAAAAGTGCATCCGCAAGGAATAAGGCATCGTCGTCTTCCAAGTGGTCCATGCTCATCACGTTGCTTTGTGTTAAATGGACAGGTCAGTCCAGGTGCGGCGGCATTTATTAGGCGTCAAATCCGCCCACGCATGCGCAATCTGACTGTGGTTACGTAATTTCCGGGATCGCAGAGTCCGTAGCAACTCCATAGCGACGATTAAAACGTAACAGTTCTACAATTTTCTGGCGTGAACTGAAAAATTACTCATTAGTTAGTAAGTAAACTAATAAGATACAGACCATAAGCATGAAGTGGCGGAGGATTGTGAAAGGGCACTTTTCTCGCTAGAAATAATGTAATTAGACGTGTAACCTATCACCAAATAGTAATATCAGATAACAGGAATAGCATTCACGCTCACTGAACGTCACAACGCAGGGACGATGATTCAAACAACACGCGACTACGCCGTTTCCGGGATCGCAGAGTCCGTAAGAACTCCATAGCGACGATTAAAACGTAACACTTCTACAATTTTCTGGCGTGATCCGAAAAAATATCCGCGATAACTAATAAGATACAGTCCATAAGCATGAACTGGTGGAAGATTGTGAAAGTAAAGGCCACATTTCTCGCTAGAAATGTTATCAAAAGTCATTTTAATGCCCAAACTATGTTAGAAAATGACATTTTTAACTGAAAATGCAAGGAATGTCGGCCATGTTTTCGTTTTCGCAGACGGAAACCTGAGAGTCACGTGACGTGCGCACAGGCCAATGCAAATCTATGGGAAGACAAAAACGTAGACATCTCACAATTTGACAGGCCAAGTTGTGAGATGTCTACGTTTTTCCAAGTGGACCAACGTAGCTATTACACGTTTTCAGATGAGACTGGGTTGTGTGATCAGTGGTCAATGACCTCCATCTGGTGGACGAAAAAAACCATTGCACCCACCTGATCAAGTCACAATCCCCATGATTCCCACACTCACAAAGCATTAAAAAGC